CAAAAAGAGGAAAGTGAGAATGGAGAAATATCAGAGGGGTAGCCGTGTTACTTTGTATCCACAAAAACAACAAGGTGGCACCTTGAAGACTAACAGATTTATTTGGGCATAAGCTTTCATGGTAAAAACCCCACTTCTTCAGATGCATGGAGTGAAAATTAAACTGCTGAGCTACAATTCATTTGCAAACTTAACGCCATCAATTTGGGCTTGAATAAAGACTGGAAGTGGCTGGCTCACTACAAAAGCAATTTTCCCTCTAGGTATTGACACCTCTTCATCAATTAATGGGAGTGGACCATATCCACCCTGTCTGAATTGGCCTTCAACATTGGTTCTCCATTTGTAAGGTAACTCCCTTCTCTTCATGTGCCAATATATATTTATGCCTGTATCTGTAATTTTCACTCCATGCATCTGCAGACTTGGGGTTTTTACCCACGAAAGCTTATGCCCAAATAAATCTGTTAATGGAGAAATAGGGAAAGGAAGGAAAAATGACTCGTATGAGAGAGGCAGAGATGGCAAGTACCTCATGTTCACATGACTGGTGGTATTAAAGATTCAGCCGAAGCTGGCAGGGCCTTTGATATCAACTGGTTCTCTCTGGCTTGATTTGCGCAGGGCATCTTGCAGGATCAGAATAACAGACGCAGTGGTACTGTGGTAGATAACAGTTCCCTCAAGCCATTGCGCGTACCAGTGGTTGTGATGATTAAGCTTGCTTTTTCCGGTCCACTTACTTTTTAGTGACCAGCAAATAAATAATATCCAAAAAGGGGAGGCAACCGAATCCAATTAAAAAGCTAACAATCAAAACATTGTTCTGCTGCTCTTTGACTTTAAACATTTCTTTCATTTCTGCCAACATGTAACTGTACTAAGAGTCTTGAAATCCTCTTATCACAGGATTTTTTTTTTAACTTAGAAATGCTGGTGCAAACTGGATTGTATACCTCTAAATTTGGCTTACTTTTATAAACAATTATAATGTAACTGGTTCAGTTGTTAAAATAAGATACAGATGACTTCTGCACAGTGATCTGGAGCCAGAGAAACTTCTTGAGGAATAAGCAGCTCATATGAATACGCCTCTACTGGTGACTGTAAATGAGCCTCTGCTCACAAAACATTAGTCTAAAATACCAGGCGGATCAGACCAACAAGTAGGCTGAGGTCAGGGTATTGGGGAAAATGGAGTAACAGGAATAAGAGGACATGGGCAATTATTAGCAAGTCAGAACCAGTAATCACAGCTCTCTACTTATCTAGCCATTAACAGCACTTTTCTGTGTGCATTACAGAATAGGTGAGTTTTGAAAAAAAGTCTTGAAGGAGGATTTTGATTGGGAGCTTTTCCCACAGGTAAGGACTGGCATGGGAGAAGGTGTGAACGTGTTTGGCAGTTTCATACTCTTTTGAGTTATACTCACAGGAATGGGTTATGTTAGTGCCTGGACAGTGTGCACTTGCCAGTCAACAAAATGACCAGTGCATTTTTCCTCCATTGTGGGAGGCAGGGCATACAGTTGCCAAGGCCTCTGTTGTAAAGTGGTAATAGTTGCCTTTGCGTAGGACCGAACACAGTGAAAGATGTGCCACCCAATTGTAGCCTTTACTGATTATGGTATTGAATAACACTGATGACCTCTTTAAACTCTAGTATTAGACAAAAGTCCAGTGGCGCTGGAACAGTTTTTGGAGTGGGGTGCTGAGCTGCACCCTCCCCTTAACCCCGTGTACACCCCTCACCACCTCCTAGAGCTGGGGCCGGCGACCAAGACCCCGAGGCTGGCAGCGGAGCCCCCGGGGCCCGCAGCCGAGCGGGTCCTTGGGACGGCAGCGGAGACCCTGGGTGCGGGGCCGGCGGCTGAGCGGGGTGGCAGGGGCATGGGGCCAGCGGCCGGGATGTTGGGCGCAAAACCCGGGGGTGCTGCAGCACCCTCTACACCCCTACTTCCTGCACCTATGCAAAAGTCTGGTCTCTGTGGCTGGCTACTGTTGAGGGACAGGAAGAGATGACCTACAGCCATCAGCCTGACACCATTTACAATAAGTTACTCATACACCTACCAAAGCTTATTAATATACATGAGAGTTGAACTCCTGTCTGTCTTTGCAGTGTTACCCTGATATTATCCGGCGGCTTTTCATCTGATAGGCCAGTTGGCTAGTTCTCCTTTTAACTCATTAGCATTTACATCACCTTATCACCATAGTAACATGCAGTTAACTTAAGGAGGTCTTTAACATTTCTCCCCACCGGTCATCTTTTGGTGTCTACTGATCTGATGGGAAAATGTAGAATGTATATATTAGAGCTAATTAATATCAAGAAGTGAAAGAACACAGTTCATTTGTTAAGGATAATATGTTAAGCTTCAAAATATGAAACAATGCCTTTATTAATATATGATGACACCTAATTGCTCTATGAAGTACTGTTTTTAGAAATGACTCTGGTTAGCTTTTATACCTAAAGAAAAAAAACCCCACCCTTTGCTTAAAACTTCTTCCATTGCTAAAATTAACTTTTCCCCGTTTATGCCAGTTGTTTAGTTTTTCTCTTCACTATGTTCAGATTTTGAACCTAGACTAGTGAGTTTCGTGCACTTGCTAATATATTAGTGTTTGGGTTGAAAATGCCATAAGGAAAATGATAAAATCTAAAAGATCTTTTATTGAAATTTCTGAAATCTATTAATATTAGGTCTTGGGAAAGCATTTTTTCTCAGCCAATAATGGAAGAGGAAGAGAGCGTAGTGATGTTGCAGTTGCTGTTTACTACTGCACTCTTCCAAGAGCAGCGAATAGCCATGGTAAAATAGCAGGGAAATTGAACGAGTCTTTAACATTTTGTAAACTATCTATTTTTAGCACATTGTGTTTTGTAGAAGTTACAAAATTGATGAAAGAGTACTAACTTGGAACAATTGTTAACACTTATAGGAAACTTCAGTAATAAGTTCACTGTCACCTTTCGAGACAGTAACTTTTTAACCATTTTGGTGGAGATTTTCAAAGAGGCAAATGTCAGGTAACTCCTACTGAATGTCAGTATATCTCTGTCATTTGTACCTTTGATCTGTTCCTCCTGTAGTCCTTCCCGCTCCAACACACCGTTTTGGAAATGGTAGGGACAATGACACAAAAGGTGTTTTTGTGTATTATGCCTTTTGAATTGTTGAATGTTTGAGTTTAAATGATTGACTGATTTGCAGTTGCCCGCCTGTTTCATGGTATGAACCTCAGGAAGCATATTACACCAATTCTGCAGAGGATTAATTTACTCTCTTTTTGGTTTGGGTGCAGTTCAGTGTGTTAACTTGGATTACTACAACTGTGCCTGGCTTGTGTCCTGACTACCTGAGAAAATACCTCACTCCCTATGTGGCACCATGGCGATTCATCTTATCTGGCTTATTCAAACTAGTAGTACATAGATATAAATATAATAAGAAGTTGGTGGGAAAGTTGTAATACTGTTCAGTTCCCCAGACAGTGATGGGCACTCCTGTGTATTAAAAAATATATATAGATATAGATAGTAGTGAAACAATATAAATAATATAAATAGTTTTAATGTTTCATGAAAAAAATAAGTAATTTCTAGCTTTATTTGTGTGTGTGTGTATGTGTGTGTGTATATATATATATATATATATATATATATATATATATATATATATATATATATATATA